GTGCGCTTTGTGTGTGTGATATATGCTTGAATAGAAGTAGACCTATATTAGGCGGTAAACCACTTACGATGGATATATACAGTTGCGTTGTGCTTGTGTGGGCCATATGTAAAAAGGGATTTTCCACCAACCATTAATAGCATTGGCGTTCTCGGTATGTCGTACACACCTGAGCTACCATTACGATGATGCAAGTGAGGGTCTTTAAGGCGTTCCCACTTGGATTACTCATCTACGTGCTTGGTATGGTAAGTTAGTGATTCTATGTAGGCGATATCGCTAGGCTTGCTCACCTCTAGGGATGCCAAGTAGGCTACATCACTAGGCTTTCACAAGGTGGGCTTGTGGGTTCAAGAAGACATGTTGCACTTGGTTGTACTCACCTCCGATTGGATTATTCATGGGGTAGTGAAGCCATGTAGGCAATTGTCAATGCGGTAACTTGTCACAGATGAGATGGTGTAGCCAAGTAGGCTTCAAAGCACTTGAAACTCATCAGATTTCATCACGTAGTGTACATGTGCAAGTCTCTTGAAGAATAGGCACTTGGGACTCACCGAGGGTGTGGTAATGTAGCCTAAGTAGGGTAAGTAATGTACTTATGGATTCCTCGTACATGGGTACGGGCCTGTATATTGTTTATGGCCTTGAGTTGTATGTATTTTCTTGTTACCTCATTGGGCAATTAAGAGACTTCTAATAGTGGTGTACCTCTGTTGTGTATTTGCACCCAACCGTGAGGAAACCCCAGATTCACGTTTAATCTGTTTTGATTGTATGCATCTTGTAGAACCGAGTGAATCCATGAGATAGGGGAACTCACTGAGATTTAGTAATCTCACCTCAATCTTCTTATTATTTTTTCAGGAGCAGGTTATAGGTAGAAGAATTGCAAGATGGACAATATTGAAGACTGCAGACGAGCAGATGGCAGGAAGACCTCATCAAAACTTATCTTTCCCCTGTGTATTACTGAAGACAAGTTGATTGTATACGTTCGGATATTAGAGTTGTGTTGTATACGATTTTAAATTTTTGTCTTTTCCAGCTTATTGTATGTTTCTACATACTATTTATAGCATAATTGCATATTATTCTAGACATATATATATATAGAGTGTTACAATATATATATATATATATATATATATATATATATATATATATATATATATATATATATATATATATATATATATATATATATATATATATATATATATATATTATTGATTCAAATATTTTTATATACTGAAAGAATTATAGGCACAAATTTATGATCTCTTTTAAAAAAAAAAATCTTTTTATTTTTATTATATTTTGGGAACAAATGTGCGTACCATACTGTTAGGGGTGGCAAAGCGGGTAACCTGCCCCATTTAGGCCCGCTCCGCTTAAGCCAGTCGAAAAGTGAGGCAGGACGGGACGGGCTAACGTAGGTGTTCGAGCTTAAAAGTCAAGTCTGCCCCATTAACTAACGAGTTAACGGGTTGGCAAACCGGCCCGCCAATTTTTTATTTTTTTAATTTTACAATTTGATTTAATACATAATTTAGAAAAAATTTAATTATTACCCAAAATGTCGATAAAGAAATTTTTTTAACAACGCATAATAGAACTTCAAGATGCCTTAAGTTCAAACAATTCAAAAAAATTAATAAATAAAAACCAATTACAATAAAAAACAAAATAAACTCAAGCACAATAAAAAAAATATCAAAATAAATAAACAATACATATCATCCTAATCCTATTTAAAAACTAACTAATAAAAGAATCCAATTTAGAATTTACACAAAACCAACAATGATAACAATAACATTGCATAAAATAATAATGCACAAAATATCAACACCAAAATTTTTCATTGTTTACATTATATAGACTCTTATATTGACCAATTCTTTAATAGTTAAATCGTAAATTTGTCACACGTATACACTAATCAAATTCTTCCTTTTCTTAAAATCAACATCTATTTCTATAAAAAAAAAACATCTGAGCTAATATATTGAAAACTTAATAATTATGCATGTCATATATTTGTTCTTTTATTTCAATCATTTTCAATCAACCCATGTATTAGAAAATTATAGAAATAACGTTACAATTATAATTCAATTTGTTTGTATAATAATTTATAATATAATCCTAAGAGATAAGTGTTGTTTTTATAGTAAGTTGTTTTAATTCTTAATAAAAAGAGTAAAAGTTTTAACAAAAAGTCAACTTAAAGTATCGTCTCGCCTCAGTCCATTTTTTTAAGCTAGTTAGGCAGGACGGTTCAACTTAAGGTACCGAGTTGAAAATCTCAGCCCAGTCCGTCAAAATTGGCGGGTCAAACGGACCAATCCGACAGACCCAACTCATTTTACCACCCTTACATATTGGTACCCGTACAAATGTAAGTCGTTGATCAAACTATCAAATATTATCGAAAACATAAAATTATTAATCAAAATATTAAATAATAATATAACAACTTTACTCTTAATTTAAATATTTTTGACAATAATTCCAAAATAAAAATAACATTTATATAAAAAATATATATTATTGATTCAAATATTTTTATATATTGAAAAAATTATAAGCTCAAATTTATGATTTCTTTTTAAAAAAATATTTTATTTTTATTAAATCTTGAGAATAAATATATATATTATACCGATAATCATGTGAATATACGAGTATTTTACTAATTTTTTTTATATGAATAAATATAATGCGGATGTACAAAAATGTGCAACGCTTACTATACATTCTTCAGTTTTCGTTAACTCTTACGTCATACCGTTTAGCTTTTTCCTTTTTTTTTAATGTAAACCAGAATGAGGATATAGAGACTTTTATTTTTCTTTGAAACTATTACATGATTGCTCCCGTGAAGGTATATATCATGACCATTTTTCTCATAATCAGAAAGAGAAGATGGATTTTTTTTTAACTATTTAATCATTGCAGCAATGGAGGTCTATGAAATTATCAATAATATTTATATATTTATGTAATAGGTGACATCTTTTTTCATGAAAGATTAATGGATTAATTATTTTGTTTATTATAAAATTAGAAAATCATTACATAAATATGTATTATTACAATATTAATGCACTAAATATATTTGTTAAATAGTAATTGAATAATAAAAATATCGTCATTTATGTTTTTTTATTATTAATTATAACAAAATTTACTTAATATCATTAATTTGATAGTTATGAGTTTTTTTAAAATAATTAATTTACACTTTAATCTTTAAAATTTTGATATTAAGTATAAACAAATAATAATATATGATGAGAATAATTGTAATTAAGTCAATTTATTAATTAAAAATTTGTATTAATACAATAAGTGAGTGGATATCTTTCACAAAGAAATTATTGATATCACCCCTTTCTACGTGATTTTTAAAATTTAAAAATAAATATTTTAATAATAATAATAAAAGATAAAAGAATACAAAAGAATAATATTAATAAAAAATATTTTAATATAGTAATGTAATTATAACATTTATAATAATAAAAAATTAAATATCAACTTTTAATATACTAATATAATAAGTGTTCACAACCGCTAGATGGAAGAGGTTTTTTTATCAAAATTCACCGTCAAGGTTTTGTTAGAGAAAAGAGATGATAGCGTAAATTAATTTACAGTATTAGTGTATTTCACTAACTTAAACTAAATTTTTTAATTATTTATATAATATGAGAGTCTAAATAATTTAAATAGATTAGTTTATATATATATATATATATATATATATATATATATATATATATATATAAGAAATAGACTTTTAAATGAGTTTTTAGGTCAGATTTTTAAAAAAGTTAGATCAGACTAAAATATTAATCTATATTACAGGCTAAACTCAAACTTTATAAATTTATTATAGGTCATTCTTATAAAGTCTAACATAGTCTATTTCTATATTTACCCCGGACAAAAAAATACCTCAATTAAGAATGAAAATGTATTATAATAGTAAATTTAGAAGAAATTTATGCCGCAAACAAATCAAAATAATCTCAATTCAATATTTTATAGAAAACATGACCACTAGATTGAAGCAATTTTCAGCAAAATTAACGGGCAAATTTTTGTTAACTTCGAACATATGAGTAAAAAAAAGTTCAATCTAATATCACGTACATAATATGTAAATGATAGTCTAACAAAAAATACTATACAAAATATAATCTCTCTACCCTTGAAAAAATGGAGCATTCATTATAATAAATAGAATTAAATTAATCATTAATTATAAAAGTAAAATGGATAAACACTCAATTGAAATCCAATAAATTGTTAAAAAATAAAAATATATCTCATCCGAACATTTGCAAATCTCTATTAAAAAAATCATTATAATAAAAGATATAAATAGAACATTTACTGAAAAAAAAAGTTTTAAAATAATCAATTTCATTCTAATAAATGTGTTAAATGAAATTCCTCATTCGTGGCTCGTGACAAACAAAATGACTCAATTGGGAATCATTATGTATTGTAGTAAATTTAGAAGAAATTAATCAATTAGTGGTAAAGGTAATACTCTAGTGTGAAAACCAAAAAATAAATATTTAGAAGAAATTTATGCTGCAAAACAAATCAAAATAATCTCAAATAAATATTACTATTAAGTATTATTTAGGAAAATTGACCAAAATAAATATTATCTAACGAGAATTCCGCAGATGCATATTATTTCATTGTATCATACTGCAACTTTTTGTCACAAAACCACTAACCCCTCTAAATTGGGAAACAATTGATATAGATAGTATGCAATTTGATTAAAAAATGAGTAGTGTTTATAAGATCCAGAAGAAAAATAACGCATAAAAGTTAGCCAATGAATAGATAAAATTATTAGCTAAATCATATTCATCCAAATCGGGTCATAAAGCTGGAAAATAAACTGTGATAAAATAAAAGTGAGTAGAAAACCCTTTCAGATAGTTTTGAAAGAAAAAAAAACCTCTCAAATGGTGAAGCAACAAGGTCTTTATACCGTAAAGAACAACGAGATCTATAATACAGATGAATTTAGAATGTATAGTTTCAAAGTAAAACCTTGTTTAAGAACTTATTTTCATGAATGGACCGAGTGTCCCTTTGTTCATCCAGGGGAAACCGCAAGGCGCCGTGATCCGAACAAATATAACTACACCTGTTTGCCTTGTCCCGAGTTTCAGAATGGAGGATCGTGCAGCAAAGGGGATGCATGTGAATATGCACATGGTGTTTTTGAATGCTGGCTTCATCCTGCTCATTACAGGACAAAGTTTTGCAATGATAAGGTTGGATGCACCAGAAAAGTTTGTTTCTTTGCTCACAATCCTGAGGAGCTTCGCCCGGTGTATGCTTCTACTGGCTCAGGTTTACCTTTACCCACATCATATTCATCTAGTACTTTTCCAATTTACCCTTTCACTGTGAATGCTTTACAACCTGCATGGAAGCCACCTTTGACTCCATCTGTAGCATCACCGCATGCTGCTGGAACTGAGTGGCAGATTCATGCTGCAGTCCCTACCTTTCAGATGCTCCAACTTGAATATCTCTTTATGTGGAAGCTAATGATTGACGAGATGGCAAGTCTCACAGGAGTGAATCATACCAATACCAACTTTGAAGGCATTTTCAGGTCGCAGATACCATCTCTAACATCATTGCAGGTGCATCAGAATAGGGGCTATCCTGCTGATCTTATCAATTCAAATGTGGTTCAATCACCACAAATTAGGGTTGGTCCATCTGTGTATCCAAGATATGATGCCTTTTCGAAGCGGAGTCATTCTGAGCGTCCTTCTACTTCTTCAGCTGCTATGGAGCCTTCTACCACCTTCCCTGGTTGGGGCTCTCCAGGTAGAAAATTAGACTGGACCATCAGCAACAAGGAGCTGAATAAGATGAGAAAATCTTATTCTTCCGGTTTTCAAAACTGAAGTAGCACTTCAAAAATGGCTGCTGCACCTAATGTTGATGCGAATCCAGATACCGAAACAATTGTGCATGGAGCATCAGCAGAAGGTGGTGTGAACCTAATGTTATTTATTAAATTTTAAATTATTCTTGTTATTTTTAAGCTTTATGCGTTCATCATATTTATTAGGTGACATTTTGCAGAAAATATGGTAAAATGTCGACAGTACAAAAGTTTGACAGATTGCAAGTATTTTGCATCAGTAATAACTTGTACTTTTTTTTAACAAAACTACTACTACAACTGTTCCACTGTGTTCTCTAATTCTTTTCTTTTTTTAGTTATGTTGAATTAAGTTGTAACCCTAACTCTTTGCTTTTTTTAGTTATGTTGAATTAAGTTGTAACCCTAATTCTTTGCTTTTTTTTAGTTATGTTGAATTAAGTTGTAACCCTAATTCTTTGCTTTTTTTTTAGTTACGTAGTTACGTTGAATTAAGTTGTAACCCTAATTCTTTGCTTTTTTTAATTATGTTGAATTGAGTTGTAACTTTCCAGCAACCAAGAGAATGTTGATTAATATAGTGAGACTGGTGCATGGAGAAGCTAATAATTTTAGAAAATCCTTTTTCAATTAAAAAATGATGTTGCTAAATTTTGCGTAATTTCCCATTTATTATAATAGTAGTTAGCAAGAGAGATAAGAATTACTTTAAATGGTTTCATCAATTTATTCTCTGTTTGTTGGTATATAGTCTCTAATTTCTTTTTAAAGAATACTAGCACGATCAATTATAAAATTCTACGACATAGTGCTATAATCTTAGACAATTTTTAACGTGAAATTGTAATAAATTAAATGTTGTAATCTTTGAACTAAACAAAGAAATTGACTCAAAGTGAAAAAGTAAAAATAATTAAAAAGAAAAGACTTAATAAGAGAACTATATTAAAATAAAAAGTAAATTGTTTGGAATTCATAAATCGGAACACATACATATATTTTTCAGAAATCACTCGTTTTTTACTTTGACACGGATAATTTGAATTTCTATAGCAATGTAATAAACTCAGATCCTTAAAACTGAAAATAAATATTGTTTATATATAAATCTTAAAATAATTGTCTACAACGGTGTGTCCTTGTTTCCAATCCATGCAAAGAAACTTCTGCAAACTTCTTCTTCGTGTCTACAACGTGTTTCCAATCTATGCAAATTTTATTCTGCAAGCTTCTCCGCGTCCTTGAAAAAATTGCATGCATTGACTTTGAAAAAATGTATGCCTTTATCCATTTTAAGTCTGCTTCAATTATGCTTCAGATCAAAGAAAACTCAAATTTTACAAAGGCTTTTAGGATTGAATTGTTAGTTGGTTAATTCTTGTTAGTTGTTATTTGGACTTTAACTTGTATTTGGATCTCGGCATGTTGCCTATATAAAGGGCCATTACTTTGTAATCCACACAACTGCAGTAACAATAATAACAACCAGTTTAAGAGTTAGTTACACTAACTAACTCAACAATCTCTCTCTCTCTCTCTCTCTCTCTCTCTCTCTCTCTCTCTCTCTCTCTCTCTCTCTCTCTCTCTCTCTCTCTCTCTCTCTCTCTCTCTCTCTCTCTTCTTCTTGTTGTTGTTGTTTTTCACAATATTCATCTTTCTTGAATCCTTTGTTCCAATAAATTGGTATCAAGAGCTTGTTTGTGATTCAGAGAGAATCTAATGGCAAACGGATCAACAACCGCAACACAATTTCCAGCAAATCTTCCGGTTTTCAAAGGTGAAAACTATCAAAGATGGGTGGCACAAATGAAGGTTATTTTCAGATTTCAAGATGTTGTAGAAATCATGAATGATGGAATGTCACAACTGGAGGGAGATGCTACGGAAGCCCAGAAAGCTGTGCACAAAGATCAGAGGAAGAAAGATGGCAAGGCACTATTCTTGATTCACCAGTGTGTGAATTGTGATGTGTTTGAGAAGATAATCGAAGAAGAAACAACACAAGAAGCTTGGGAAAAGCTGAAGTCTTTGTATGGTGGAGATGAGAAACTGAAGAAGTGAAGTTGTAGATTCTGAGAAAGTAGTATGAGATGCTGCATATGAAAGAAGATGAATATGTTTCAGCATATTTCTCAAGAGTGGTGATGCTAACAAACCAGATGAAAGCGTGTGGTGAAGTGCTAATGGATCTGTAGAAGATAGTAAAGGTATTAAGATCTCTAATTGTAGATTTTGATTACTTTGTTGTAACAATCACTACGCCAAAAATAAGCTTTAGCAGCACACATACGAAAGCGCTTTTAGGAAAAAGCGCTGCTGTAGGTATTAAAAAAAATTCGCTTAAAAAAAGCGCTTTCAAAGGGTACCTTAAGAAAGCGCTGCTAAAGGTCACTCTTAGAAAGCGCTTTTTGAGAAGCGCTGCTAAAGGGTGCCTTTCAGAGGGAACCTAAGAAAGCGCTTTTCAAAAGCGCTGCTAAAGGTCAGCCTTAGAAAGCGCTTTTCAAAAGCGCTGCTAAATCTGGCCTTTAGAAAGCGCTTTTAAAAGCGCTGCTATAGGGTATGCTACGAAAGCGCTTTTTTATGTAAAAGCGCTGTTATACATGACCATTAGAAAGCGCTTTTAAAAGCGCTTTCGTAGGTTGTTTTATAATAAATTTTATTGTTTTTGATTAAAGGTGTGTTCGTACTGTGGCTGTTGTGTTTCCTCTCTTCTAACGTCCCAACCCCCAAATTCGTTCCTGTTCCTTCTTCGTCCTCTCACGGTAGCTCTTTCCGTTCAATCGCCACCATCGTCAACTCTCATCGCCGTCGCACGACTCGTCCCTCTCTTCACAAGGTTCGTACTGTGGCTGTTATGTATTCTGAAATAAGTTTTGGTTTTCGTTGATTATTATTTTCTTCTCATTCACAGTGTATTGGTTGTTGTTGTTGTTTGATGATTTTTGAATGTTTCCTAAAACCCTTTGATGATTTTTTTGTTACAATTTTCGCATCACTCGCTCACTCTGATACACAATCAGTTCACACATACACCATCATCACCAATCTGCTATCCTCAATCTGCTAGCTCCGACGTCCGAACACCCTTTCGATTCCGCAATTCAGATCCTCTTTGTCACCATTTTTCATTTGAAGTTTTGGTACTGCTATATTTAAATGTGAATTATGGAAGTGGATAATGTTTTTGTTATTTGTTGTATTGACATTGTTAGTGATAATTATTGTTAAAATTGAAGGGAATTTTTCATGACAGTTTGATTCCTATTTGGTGTTAAATTGAGTAACAAAATTTTGACAGCATTACTATTTTTGTTTAATTGGTGAGTTTCTAATGATGTTATTAATATGTTATTTCATTTTGAGTTAATCTTGAATGAATTAAACTTGGTGTTGATTTTGATAGTTCCTAATTTTGTTTTAAAACATGTTGGCTTTGAATTTGTGATGACATTGTGTGATTTGGTTTTGAATGACGAACTCGGTTATGGTATTGTTGTTTATCGTGTGCACATGGAACACTTGTTTGAGATGAGTTTTATTGAGCATTATTAGGATTACATAGTTGTTTCCAGGAATTTGGTTCCGTTGATTTTAGCTTACTTTGAGCTTGATTTTTCATATCATGAACTTGAATTGGATAAGAGCTTGAATTTTTGGTTCCCGTTTTCATTTGTGAATCGATAATCATGATAACTGTTTGATAACTTGATGTCCATTCATGATGCATTCATACAAGTTTCATTTGGTTTCAATTCTCTTGTGATTACTAACTTGTTTATGGTTTGTGTAAGTTTCTCAAGACTAATCAAGTAGTCATTCTCTCTTCTTACCTCTTATTCACTTTTGATTGATTAATCAAGTTTTGATTTATTTACTTGATTTTTTTTATTAAAAATGGATTAGTTTATTAATCTATTTTTCTTAACTCGATGAGGCCATGCCATATATAAGAAACAGATGAAGTTTGGTATAGGGTAGTGTGATACGGTGGGAGAACTGACTAGTGTTTTGCGTTCGCATTCGCACTTGTGCGGTTGAGCAAGAGTCGCCACCGACTTTTTATTTTATCCTAAAGGAAAGGTTAAAAAAGCACAGCAAAAACCTTTTGAGATATTTCGTGGGTTCGGGGGGTAGATTATGAAAAGGGAAGGTATTAGCACCCTTTTCATCCATGGTTATCCATGGGCTCTTAGTTACTTGGTTTTTTAGATCACTTGCCTTGTTTTTCGATTGCTTTGAAAATGGTGTGTGTGTGGGTGCTTTTTGAAAATGTTTTGGAAAAAGATGCCTTGTCTTAGGCAACTAATGTATTTGACTCGTGTTTGAGTGTTTTACAAAAGTGTGAATCTTTTCGAAAAGATGTTTTCAAATGTTTTTGAGAGTTTGTTTTGAAAGTGTTGTGGATTGTGGTTTTTGAAAAGAAGGCAAGTGTTTTTGCAAGTTTGATCTCAAGTAACTAAGAGTTTTGTCTACCCTATTGTACTCAAAGGTTTTTGTCATGTTTTAACCCCTTTTAACAATTTTGTTCCACCATTGAAATTGGTAGACAATCTTGCGTTTAGGAAGTTTATTCGGGACGGGCGCGGGTCATCGTATGGACCATGAATGCAATGATGCCAAGTGTCTTTGGCAATTTGTTTTGAAGGGACTATGATCATTCCGTTTAGGCAACACTTTGAGACTTATGATCATTTGATTTTGTTTTGCCAAAGGAACTCGACGTGCAAGCATGGCCCATTTTGGAAGGCAACATGTGGGATTACCCTAGAGGGTGCAAGTGTGATTTGTGTATTGATTACATGCATTTGTCTTGTATTAGGTTATCTAGCGTTTGATTTTATTCACATACAAACCCTAGGTCTAACCATGGTATAATTGGAAAACTGTAAATTGCGAAATGTAAAATCTACGCTGTTACAAAATAGTGTCCGGGAGTGGGGGTATAAATGTACAAGGGGATGAGACTTATAGTATCCAATAAGTTACAACCAAATCGAATGTGCGATCAAAATGTAAATA